CCCGAGGTTAACAAAACGAGACTAAATAAAGGAGCACACCAGCCCAGGGGCAAGTAGTAGAAGGCAGGAGGGGACAGGAAAGCTGATAATAGGGAATCCAACGTCGAGAAGGGAGAGTGTTGACATGCCATGGGGCTGTTAACAAATGTCATAAAACAGTATGTGTACTAACTGTTTAATGAGAAACTAGTTTGTTCTGTAAACCTGCATCTAAAGTACAATTTAAAAAAAAAAAATCACCTATATGATCTGCTTTCCTAATAAAGGAGGCAGAGTTAGTGAGGGGAACCCGTTCCCACTTGTCACGCTTCTTCCCTTGAATGAAGATATGATTCATGGCCCTCTAGCCATCATGTTGTGACCATGAGGATGAAAGCAGACTTGCTGAGTAACTCTTACGAGCACCTGAAACAGTGCCTGCAATGGCCTACCTGTAGACTTCATATGATGTGAGAAAAAATGAACCCATTTGTTTAGACCACTAAAACAAAAAAACAAATCACTTATATGAGACCAAACGGTCAACAATTACTTTAAAGCAAAGATGAGAATGTAAGGGGTCAGGGAGACTAGATTAATGGAACCTGAACAACCAGAATGGAAATAATGAGAAAGTTCACTCATTGTGAAGAATGTAACCAATGTCACTGAACAACTTGTTCAGAAATTGTTGAATGGGAACCTAAACTGCTGTATAAACCTTCACTGAAAACACAAGTGTTTAAAAAAAAAAAACAACTAGTAAACCTAATTTAAAAAATAATGTTCTAATGTCCTTGTACTATTTGGGAAAGAGGTTAAAATAGTGATAAACTTTACACTTTAAGTTAAATATGCATGATAAAATTGAAAAAGTAATTGCTAAAACAGTAGAAATGATTTGTAAATTTCAAACCAACAGGAAGAAATGGAATGAGGGAGAGGGAAAAAACAAAAATCCAGCCAATATACAAAATCGATTTCAACCATCCAACAAAAATGCAATTTAAAAAGGAGAAGGAGGAAGCTTAGAAAAAGGAAAGCAGATAGAAACGAGTTGAAAAATATAAGTAATCACAATAAATGTGAATGGACTAAGCTTTCCTGCTAAAAGACAGGAAATGTGAGATTGAATGTATGTAAAAGAAAACAATACAGCTATATAATCCTTAAAAGAAACACATATGAAATACAGAAAACTTTGATAATAAATAATTAACAAAATGTATCTGGCAGTTATTTCAATTACCTTTCTCATTTATTGACAGTTTAAGCAGACAAAAAGTGATACAGTTAGAGAAGATTTGAACAACGTAATGAACAAGCTTAATCTAAGGATGTGGATAGAACAAATACATTTACAAAATTACGGCATAAAGCAAGTCTCAACAAATTTCAAAGTATTATTGTCATGTAGTGTTCTCTGACTGTAGAGTAGATAAGGTTAGAAGTAAGTAACAAAAAGATTAAAATTTTTTCTTACGCCTATCAGAATGACTAAAAAGTGACAACACCAAATGCTGGCAAGGATGCAGAGAAACAGAATCTCTCATACATTGCTACTGGGAATGTAAAATGGTACAAACATTCTGGAAAACAGTTAAGTGGTTTCTTTAAAAACTGACCGTGCAACTACCATACAACCCAGTGTTACACTCTGGGGCGTTTATCACAGAGAAATGCAAACTGTTCACACAAAAACCTGTACATGAAGGTTTGTAGTAGCTTTATTTGTAATAGCCCAGAACTAGAGCCACGCTAGATATCTTTCAACAGGTGACTGGATAAACTGGTACATCCATGCCATGGAATATTCAGCAGTAAAAAGGAACAGACTATGATGTGATACAGCTGGAATGAATCTCCACAGAATTACGCTGAGTGGAAAAAGCTAATTCCAAAATTTGCATCTTGTGTAGTTCACTTATATTGCATTTTTGAAATGACAAAATTTTAGAAATGGAGGGCACATTAGTGGTTGCGGGGTGGGGTTGCTGTAGAGAGGTGGCAGCACCTTGTGTTGTTGGAACTGCTCATTGTCTTGATGTGGGGGTTATGCAGTCATACCCAGATGATCTAACTTTGCAGAACTAAATACATGCACACACACACAAATGAGTACACATCCTGGTTGTGATTTCATACTATGATTTTACAAAATGTTTCCATTGTGGGACACTGAGCAAAGTGTACAAGGGATCTCTGTATTATTTCTGTTTGTTTTTTTTAGACAGCATTTTTATTTTATTGTGGATATATATGATAGAAAAGTTGCCATTTTAACCATTTTTGCGTGTACAGTTCAGTGACATTAATTCCATTCACCCTGTGCAACTGTTACCACTACCTATTTTCAAAAGTTTTTATCACCCCAAACAGAAACTCAGTACTCCTTAAGTAATCACTCCCCATTCTCCCTAACTCCCAGCCCCTGTAACCACTGTAAATTTTTGACTCTACATTTGCCTATTCTAGGTATTTCCTATAAGTGGGATCATACAGTATTTGTCCTTTGTGTCTGACTTATTTCACTCAGCATAATGTTTTCAAGGTTCATCCACGTCTTGGCATGTATCAGAAATTTATTTCTCTTTATATTGTTGTTGTTGTTAGGTGCTGTCGAGTCAGTTCTGACTCATAGCAACCCTATGTACAACAAAGTGAAACACTGCCCAGTCCTGCGCCATCCTCACAGTTGTTATGCTTGAGCCCATTTTTGCAGCCAC